CCATTTATATTCAAAATGATTCTAAATGATTACATACATAACTTCCCATGTTGGGGCTTTTCAAAGGGCCTCCTGTGGGGAGGTTAGTGGGAAATGAAAAGGCTTGTTTAACTAAGAGCTGCAGCCCCCTGATCAACATAAGGCAAACAGACAGCAGAAGAAAATAAACACACACACACAGAGGGACAGAGAGACAGGGAAAAAAATCAATTATATTCCAGGGGAACATAATAATCTATGGAGCTGATCATGAACATGTGTCGATTCTCAGGGACCAAGCTCTTTTATCTCTGCTGCGTGTTCACATGTGCAGGGACACACTGGTGGATGTGGCTTCAGCCTGTGATTCATGGCCGACTGCCTAACAAGAAGGCTTGATCCTGTCAACCACAGTGCACTTTAATAATCCCTGTAACACAGCTGACGTACAATATCAGTTAAAGCATGACTAATTTGGCCTTGTCTGCCCCAGGGCGGGAAATCACAGCAAAATGGAGTGAAGGGTAATTATCAAGCAAGGCCCATTTGAAGAGTTCTTATGAGCAGATACACCAGGCTGTGGCTGTGTTTGATCAAATGAGGCTTTAACACACACACACACACACACACACACACACACACACTAGAAGCCAATAAAGGTTTGCCTGAAAACAGAGGCACCTGACAAAGAAAAGCTGGATGATAAACAGCAATTACAGCCGGGACTGTGACACACAGCCAGTGTTGAGGAGTCACTCGTCGCCTCCTTTAGCACGTGTTTGTTTCAAACTTCTCTGAGCATGGCTGTTAAATCCACAACTGAGGGGAGAGGGAGCAGCAGCAGCAGCAGCAGCAGCTCTTGGATGTGGCCACCTGTGAGTCACAAGGAGGAGGAAGTGTATCACCGCCGCGGCAAACAGGGGAAGCCCCCCTCCACCCCCTCCTTTTAAAATCAAGTTGTTGTTTTGTCACAGTATGAGAGGTGAGCGAGGCCAGAAAGATGTGGATCAGTGGGTAGACAGGGTTAACTTTCCAACCAGCACGTCACGGGTTCTATTCCAGCTAGATGTGTGGTGTTTTAGGTCAAGATACTTAACCCCTCGCTGCCTAACGTACCTCGCTTCTTACCTACTCTGATAAACAGATCTCAATGCATCTGGAGGGGGTATCTAACCTCTTATCTAGGGCACCTCATTGGGACATGAATTGCAACTGTTTACAGAGTTTAACAGTCAGATCTGGGTAGTGTTTTCAGCCAAATCTTCATGGGTGTATTTATTTCCTTGTAGGTGGTTTTTGCAACAAAATGCTCACAAAAGACATTTTAATTTCTTTTTTGGTGAGCCAGACAGACATGTAGTATTATTTAGTGCCCACGTTAATCTGCTTTAGATTCTCTGCTCCAAGAGAATTAAATCAAACCTCAAGCAGAAGAAAACCTTTGGGATCAGATAAAGGCAGAAGGAAAATAAAAAGAACCACAGAGATGATTCATGAATGTTCTAAAGAGAACATGGAGATGACCTGCATGACAGTAAAGAAGGGAAACGATAACAGTTGGGAGGAGGCAGATGATTGGCTGTGGCCAGCAGCAGAGAAGAGATCCTGGAGATCTGATGCATCACTACGGTTGTTCTGAGATAACGTGACTTTATATGTTAAAAATGAAAAAAAAAAAAAAATCTTTGTACGCACCCTAATGGCAGGAAGAAATAATAATATGACAGTTTCTATTCAACCAGCATTTGTATTACAGGGATGTGCCAATATGTTTCTCAAATTCAACTAGAATGAAAAAAAAAAAAAAAAATGATCAAAATGTGCCCAAAAACACTTAGTTTTCTTTACACCCTATTGAGAAATCATGTCGCAGCTGGACTAGTCGGAACATTGTGGATTTATATGTTGATTATTTGCGCAGTCTACTGATTTAAAAAGAATGTTTACTCACTTTGGTAAAACATCTAACCACCTGACCACGCAGGGAGCCGTAGTGCAGGTATCTGTTTGACCTTTCTGTAATTCAAAGCTGTCACGAATCTATTGACAGAAATGAACATTTTTACTATTTCAGTGAACAGTGAAGCCTTTCGCGATCATTAGTCAAATTAATTGTTGCCTCGACAAATCCTCCTGCTGACACTGCTAGGAAAACAGTAATGAAAGATGTCCTGATAAAACAGTCAGAATCCATCAAAGAGGGCTTTCCACCGCTGATTGCAGCATAACAAGAGTGAGCTTTATGAATGGGCAGAGCTGTTTCAGTCCAGTTTCTAATGAACAGAGGAGGAGAAGGAGCAGGAGGAGCAGGGGGAGGAAGAGGAGGAGGGCACTGAAGTGTTGGGATAAGGTTACCCACAGAGATTAGCTGACAAGAGGAGAAGAGTGAGGAAAAACAAGCGAGCGAGTTGAAGGTCTTGGTTTACCTGGCTCGCTGTGCTTGGCAGCCAATGAAAGAGCCTCCAAACCACAGGTTCAAGGATTCTCTCTGTCTCTCTGGGTTTTTACTGGGAAACTAATTAGGAGTTTGGGTCACGTGTTGCAAACAGGAAACTTTATTACCGAAATGACTCCCAGTTGTTTTGCAGCCTTTAACTAGTGCACGCCTGGTCTGTTGGCGAGGACAGGACTGTGGGAATGAAGCTGAAGGAGGAGGCATCTGAAGGCAGGCAAGCGCTCAGCGGTTCAAAGGGCCCTAGCAGGCATTTAGGGCTCCACAAAGGAACTTGGCAGATCAGTAAGTGAAGCCCAGTGTACTACATTAGTGTCAGGACCCCCTCCGCGTCCCTCCCACTTTGCACTTTCATCTCTGACACGGACATATTGACTTAAAGGAAAGGAGGGGTGCGCGGGCCCCTGTGAAGGAGGGGGGCAGTAGCTGTGGTGTGTGTTGCAAATGTAAGGGGATGTGTGTGCGTGTGTGTGGGGTTGTGGGGGGGGGGGGGGTGAGGTGTCCCCTCGGTTCACCA